ACCATGCCCGGCTGATTTTTTATTTATTGTAGAGATGAGGTCTTGCCAAGTTGCCCAGATGGGTCTCGAACCTGCGGGCTCAGGCAGTCCACTCACCTCAGCATCCCAAAGGCGCAGGATTGCAGGCTGAGCCACCGAGCCCAGCTTGTGCTGACTTTCTTAACAATGTTTTCATATCTATTCTGACTGTAGGCTGGCTTTGTGGAATCCATTTTGTTTTCACCAACCAATTAGCTGTTTCACACTCAGTGTGTAAGCCAGAAGGGCTGGCGTGCTCATGGATTTGCCCATTCTTGGAGATACCAGCTTCAGATTCACCAACACCAGCAGCAACAATCAGGACAGCACAGTCAGCCTGAGATGAGCCTGTAATTATGTTATTGATGAAGTCTCTGTGTCCTGGGGCATCAATGATAGTGACGTAGTACTTGCTGGCCTCAAATTTCCACAGGGAGATATCAATGGTGATACCACGTTCATGCTCCACTTTCAGTTTATCCAAGACCCAGGCATACTTGAAGGAGCCCTTTCCCGTCTTAGCAGTGTCCTCAATTTTCTCAGTGGTTCTTTTTTTGATGCCACCATGTTTATAGATCAGATGGCTATAGTGGTAGACTTGCCCAAATCTACCTGTCCAATGACGGTATGTTGAGTGAGTCTTTCCTTTTCCCGTTTTGGCTTTTACGGGTGGTTTTCACGACATGTGTGCTTTGGCGGCAAACTCATTGTGAATCTGAGTACATTCTATTTTTTAAAGATAAACTCCATTGTGTTTTATGCTGTACTAGCCTAAAAAGTATTAAGGGTGGATCTCAATGAGGAGAGAGGGTTCTAGTACATTGGTGTGTGATGACACATATCTTCCATCATCAACGTCTTCAGCAGTGGCTTGCATAGAGACATAAAAATCATGCCTTTCAAATTTATAGATTATGTAAAGTGGTGATAAATAGCTAATATGATAGATGGCATTCAAGACTTAAAATTATCTCCACAGATTAAAAACAACAAAAAGATCAGCCAACATAAATTTTAACAAGACTGTAACCAACAAAATGAACTTTAAAAGGAATAAATGTATAATCCTCAGGCAAATAAGTACACAGATATGGGATAAGGGATCTCTAGCTTGAGTAATTCATATGGAAAAGGCTTAAGGGTTTTAAATAGCAATATGCTTAATTTAAGCCACCTCTGATTTCTTAGAAAACTGGTGATATCTTGAACTTGACTGGTGGGAGTCTAGGAATGCTTTGTCTAGATGAACTATGGACTGCATTCTGAGGTAGGTCAAAATAGACGTCACAGAGTTCTAGCACTTAATTTTAAGCAGATTTCTTCACTAGTGTATTTACTAGAGTGCTATAGTAGAATCAGTATTTATACTTAGTATGCAAATCATTTATTATTTCAGCAAACCTTTGAGCACTCATTCCTTATAAGGAACTATTCTTGGGATTAGGAAGCGAGTCATGATCCCTGCTTGAGAGGATTCCATGATATAGTGGGGTTTACACAATTCCAAGAATTTTGCTTTAGTTTCCAAGATCATAGAAAATGATTTATGAAAGCTAGAGAAGAATTACAGAAATGATAGAATGCTTAATATAGCTTGAAAGCCAGTAAAGCCAGAGTGCCAGTGTTGTCAAGAAAAAGGAACTGTCAGTAAAAGCAGTGTGTGGCACATTTTATTTTTATTTTTATTTATTTATTTTTTTGAGTTGGAGTCTCACTCTGTCGCCCAGACTGGAGTGCAGTGGCCGCTCCCAGCCGCTGCAGCCTCGACCTGCTGGGCTCCGGCGATCCTTCCGCCTCAGCCTTCCGAGTAGCCGGAACTACAGGCACGCGCTACCACACCCAGTTAATTTTTTGATTTATTGTAGAGATGAGGTTTCGCCAAGCTGCCCAGGCAGGTCTCGAACCCACGGGCTCAGGCAGTCCACTCAACCTCAGCCTCCCAAGGCGTGGGATTACAGGCTGAGCCACCAAGGCTGGCTTGTGTGGCACATTTTAGAAATATTTCCATCCGAATGTTAAAAGAAAAAGGTTTTGTTCTTAAAGATGTTTGAATGATTTTTTTTTCTTTTTTTTTTAGAGACAGGGTCTCTTTGTCATCCTAGGCTGTAGTGCAGTGACACAATCATAGCTTACTGTAGCCTCTGCCTTCTGGGTTCAAATGATCCTCCTGTCTCAGCCTTCTGAGTAGTCCTGTAGTAGCGCCTGTAGTCCAGGTGCATACTACTACGACTGGCTAACTTTTTTTTTTTTTGAGTTGGAGTCTCACTCTGTCGCCCAGACTGGAGTGCAGTGGCCACTCCCGGCCACCGCAGCCTCGACCTACTGGGCTCCAGCGATTCTTCCACCTCAGCCTTCCAAGTAGCTGGAATTACAGGCGTGCGCTACCACACCCGGCTAATTTTTTGATTTATTGTAGAGATGAGGTCTTGCCAACTTGCCCAGGTGGGTCTCGAACCCGCGGGCTCAGGCAATCCACTCACCTCAGCCTCCCAAGGCACGGGATTACAGTCTGAGCCACCGAGCCTGACCAACTGGCTAATTTTTTTAAAAACTTTTGTAGAAACAGAGGTCTTGCTAAGTTGCCCAGGCTGATCTCGAACTTCTGGCATCAAGCAGTCCTCCTGCCTTGGCCTCCCAAAGTGTTGAGATTACAGGCGTGAGCCACCACGCCTGGCCATGAGAGATTTCAGACTAAAGCAGATAATTTCTTGTTATTTGGAAGTATTTTAGGTTCAGATATGTAATATCCAGAAAAGGAGAAAGTCTCACTGTAGTTTGCTTCTCTGTTAGACCAATTAGAGGTCATTAGTTTTACTTCTGAGAATCCAGTTTAGGAAGAGTATAAACATACTGTATGTCTGGAAGAGATTGCAGAATGGTGGAGAAATCTTGAGGAGCAGTCATAGGAAATGGTTAGCCATAGAAAGGGGAGACTTGAGGAACGTGATAGTTATATCTTCATATATCTTAAAGGCTATAAAATGGAGCAGGTGACACGCTTTTACTCTTGTCTTATGGTACACAACCAGTCCTAGTGGGTTGAAGCTGCCCATTTCAGAAGGCAGATGCCATCCAACTGAGAAGAATAACTTTTAATAGTTATTGCATTGACATGATGTTAGCCTACTTATTCAAATGGGTTCCTTATGAGATAGTGACCCTCCTATCCCTGAAAATGTTTAAATGTACTCTTTTTAGTTACTACTCAATTCTGAGAAGCTATAGGCAAGAGATTCTTCAGCCAAATCTCAAATTAACTTTCCTAAAGTCTGAGACCATTGATAATACTTTCAGAGAAAAACATCTGAAACATCTAATAACTTTGATAGCTATTAGAAATACCAACAACAATTATGACTGCCTTTCAGTTTTGAAACACAGCTATTTTCTTGTTCATTTGTCATAAAAATATATGATCTGGAATGAAGACGTTGAGGGAAGAACACCTTTTCTACAATGGTTCAGGTGTAGTTTTAGGAATTTTCTTTTAACGATTAAAACGTTTGCCCATTTCTTGTCTCCTTGTCTTTTGTTGTCTTCCATTATTTATGAAAGATTCAGTGGTGACTCAGACTATCAGGAGGTTCTTTCAACGGACGATTGTTTCTTTTTTTTTTTTTTGTTCAACTGAATTAGTCTCTTTTTATTCTCTTGGTATTCTCTTCCAAAGTTAACTACTTCCGTTGTAGGTGATGAAATGTATAAGGCTCCACTTCGAATGTTGGCACTGTTATGAGCATGGTCTTTCCCTTTACTGGAACTCAGAATTAAAATTCTTGGTTTTTACATTCCAGTTCCAGAAGTAGTTTCCACTGCAGAAGTTATGTGATGACAGTTTTAGGCTGGCTAGTGGCCTACAACCAGGCTTTAGCTTCTCCAGGAACACTACAGGATGGATTTAGTTTAAATATGCTTTAAACTAAAAGACATTCTGCCAAGTGAGTTTAAATGCATTTTATTTTTAGACAATGTACATGACACATTTTTCTTGAAAAAAACAATGCCTCCACTCCAAATAAATCACAGTCAAAACAAATGAAGTTCAAGATGACATCAGTCCATTTGTCTTAGATCCTGATGTTGTGTGGATGACAAGCAGCAGCCAGTTATGACAGGTGATAGATCCAAAGTAATTGTCAAATTTGTTACTGTAAAAATAAGGAAAAGCATATTAATGTTTTCCCTCATAGTATTCAGCATTCCCAAGCTACAAGTGTACTCCCCAATTCAATGTGGGCCGCCATAAAGACACACAGAAAGCGCAGGATTTCTTTCTTTTGCATCCTAGTGCAAACCAAAATCAACAGACTATTGTATGAAACATTTTCTAAGCAGATATCTGCTTATAAAAGCAAACAGTGCAACTGTTAAGTTTATGGAGTGGGACAGAGTGGGGAATGTGGGCTCTTACTCAAAACTTCATACTAAATTTACTTGTAAATTGGCATTTATACATATTGCCACATGTTAGTTTATTACAGTCTTGTCTCTGAAATAAATCAGAAAGCATTTTTACACAATGCCTCACTCGGAGCTTTTTCTGCAGCATTATCTCTAATGAAAACCTGTGATTGAATGTCTTGGTGTGACAAAATGCGGTGCCTCCTGAGGTAACTCAGTCCCTTTTTCAGATAGCTGTCATTTGTAAAAAGGCATTTATTTGTTTATTTTTGAGACAGAGTCTCACTATGTTGTCCAGGCTGGTCTCAAACTCTTGGGCTTAAGTAATCCTCTGGTGTCAACATCCTAGGATTACAGTCATGCGCCACCATGCCCAACCTAAAAACCTTTTTATTATGTTTAGTTAAAATTTATGTCTCTGCATCTTCCAACCAGTGATTCATTTTCTGTTGTCTGGACTTTCACAGAATACGTCTCTGTCCTATCCAACACGGCAGGCATTCAAGTATTTATAGATGGTTACCTGCAGTTACCTTCTAGTATATAGTATAGCATAGTATGGTATGGTATGGTATTGAATTCTATACTGTAGTAGTTAAAGGGTGTGTATTCTGAAGCTGACTAACTGAATTTGATTCCTAGCTTCACCCCTTGCTACTTGCATGACTTTATCTTCTGTGCCTCAGTTTCCTCATATGTAAAGTGGTGGCAAAACTATATACCCATCTAAGTCAAAGTATTATGCACATTAAGAGAGTTTTAACAGTTTTTAAATGTTTTTGGCACAGAGGTGTTGTGGTCACTGTTAGTTGCAGTAGCAGTTTTTCTTCATCATTGTTTAACATCAGACACTAGCAAAGTTCTTGCTAGAACAGTGATTCTTAAATGAGGAGGCATTGGGATAGGGAAGATACAGCATACTTCATATTTACCATGTTTTTACATTAAAATTGTACTTTAGTGATAGTAATCATAGGAGGAAAACTTAAAATGTTTTTGGATATGGGGGTATGCAGAAGATGAGCTTTAAGGCAGATAATGACAGTTATTACTACTAAATAATGAAAGTAGCTAATATTTATTAGCATTTAACTGTGTACCAGGCACTGAACTGTATCTTTACCTGGATTATCCTATATGAACCCCATTTGATAGATGATACAACTAAGGCTTGAAGAGATTAAGGAATTTTTCTAAATTCTCATGGCTAGTAAGTGGTAGAGTTGGGATTCATACTTAGGTAGTCTGATTTTAGGGCT